AAAAAAATCTCCAAACTCTTAATACTAAATTCTTATGGATTCTCTCTCCTACGTGTCACTTCTTAAGTCTCCCCTCTCACTTTTCCTAATTTTTAATCATTTGTCAATTATCTAAATCTCAAAAACCAAAAGGATTATATATATTTAAATAAAATGATAAATATTTAAATATAAACAACAAAGACATAGAGATAAAAATATAAAATAAATAAAATAAAATGATAACTATTTAAATTTCAACTACAAAACAATATAAAGAGTCAAATAAAAGATGAAAAAAATAACTAAATGAAAAATATTGCGAGTCAATTAATTATAAAAATAAAAAGTTAACCATTTATATGTAAATCAAAGTATAAACGTAGCAGATGAAAAATTATGGTCATACCTTTTTTCTACAGAATCTGAATTGAAGGATCTCGTAGGTAAATCACGTGCTTCCTAAATTTGATCAATCAACCCAACAATGGAGTGATATTACAGAATGAATATCACCCACACAAGTCACAGTGCAAAATAGCTCTTGATCGTTGTATTTTTTTGGAAAGAGTCAGTATATAGGAAAAACATACGACATACGTTGTTTTTCTCTTAGTATTACTTTTATTTAATATATTAGTCATTTTGATTAATTATAATATGCCTTTGTTAATCTACTTTTGATTGTCTGAAGTAATTCTTAGATAAATTAGCTATTATATATGTGATGATTTACTAATGTATGATAGTTTTTTAAAATTTTCAATAATGTGAAATATTAAATATTTTTAATGATGTGAAGTAAGATTTATATACACAAACCAAATAAAAATATTAAGAAATATAAACAAATAGCAATTTTTTTTTTATTTTTTGGAAAATTTACCCATAAATCCTATTTTTCTGAAAAGTTGAACCATTTAGTCCTAAAAGTTTTCTTATGCACCATTTAGTTCCATTTTATTTTGGTAATGTTGTTTATTTAATTTTCATTATTTTGGAGGTTACAATAGTACCCATTTTGTGGAATGTTTGTTTCCTAAAAATCTGCAACATCATAAAAACATCACCAACAACATCAATTACATCACCAACGGTGGTGGTACTGGATCGGTGTGTCATCAATGATTGTGAGACTGGCAGATCCAGGGGGTTCGGGTTCGTGACGTTCAAGGATGAGCAGTCGATGAGGGACGCCATCGACGAAATGAACGGTGAGGATCTTGACGGGCGCAACATCACCGTCAACGAGGCCCAGTCCCGCGGAAGCGGTGGTGGCGGAGGCCGCGGGTTCTGCGGTGGTGGTGATCGTGGTGAGGGTGGATACGGTGGTGGTGGTGGATGTCGCTGATGTTGATGATGTTGATCATGGCCCTAATGTCTAGCACTGATGTTAATGATGGATCGGCCTTTTCCCAACAAACGTTGCAGATGTTGACGATGTTGATCATGGCGTTGATGTCGCTGATGTTGATGATAGCACTAACGTTGATGATGTCGATCATGGTGCTGATGTTGATGATGTCAATCATGGCGCTGAGGTTGATGATGTTGATCATAGCATCGATGTTGATAATGTTGATGATATTGATGACGACTGCTGCCCTATTTCCGTAATTTGACATTATCAAATTACCAAGCTTGCCCATTAGTCTTACCACTCACGAACACAATGTATATGCCCTCAATGGTAAATTCCCTTACAATGGGACTGTTCAATTTATAAAATAACATTTGGGATTAAATAGTATATAAGTTATTAATTTGAGATTTATTAGTTTATCATTTTTTTTAAGTAATTATTAACTTTCTAAAATGTCGTGCATCGCACGGGCTAACCACTAGTATATATATATAAGGTTGTTTTGAGAAATAAGTTAAAAGCTGATTTTTTTATTTTTAAAAATATATATATGTAAAAAAATGAGGTGATGTAACTTTAAAAAGTTTAAAAAATTAAAAAAAAAAGGCAAAATTACCAAAATAGACCAAATTCTTATTCCAATCAGAACAATTAAACGGGATAGAAACAGGACAAATTATTTTCTTTCTTAAAGCAAAAGCAGCACTCTGCCCGAGAGAGAGAGAGAGAAGTAGACTTTTTCATGTGATTGGTTTCTACGTATGAGGATCCTCTCCTTGCAAGTTCTTACTTGCGCCTGTCCTTGCAGGGCCTTCGGGCCTACTTTTAGACCCAATTTTGATAATTCGAACCGTTCATATTTTATGATTTATTCAGTATATCATACCTGTAAAAAATCAAGTTGATCGGATATCAGAAAGTATGTGTTTGAAAAATTGAACTAAAAATTATTTTTTTAAAGAATTTAATAAACAGTTTTCCGAACATATGCTTTTTGATATCCGATCAACTTGATTTTTTACAGGTATGATATACTGAATAAATCATAAAATATGAACGGTTCAGATTATCAAAATTAGGCCTAAAAGTAGGCCCGAAGGCCCTGCAAGGACGGGCGCAAGTAGGAGCCTGCAAGGAGAGGCTCTTGACTCGGTTTCTACGACCGAAAACATTATGGGTTTTAAATTTTTTGTTAAATGAATAATTAAATGTTTTATATAGGTGTAAAATTTAAAAATTTTATATTTATGTGAGATATTTAGTCATTTATTTAGTAAAAAAATTGATATCCTTAACATGACCCTTTTATGATAGTACCTCTTGAAATTGAAATTATTTTATTACTTAATTTTTAAAAAATAGGATAAAAAAGACTTGAAATATTTTATCAAAAAATTTCAAGTTTTAGACCACCTCCAATCGTTCACCAAACTTTTCATCAAATTTAAATTTGATGAAAAAACTTACTTTTTACTACTCCAATGGCTTAGAGCATCTCCAACGGTGAATCAAAAATTTCATCAAATCTGAGTTAAAAAATGGCTATTTCCTGAATTTGATACTTCAGGCTCCAACGGTTCACCTTCACCAAATCTATCCCGGGACAACCGGGTGGTCGACCGGCCGGTTGACTGGCCGGTTGACCGGTTAGGCCAAAAAAATTTTTTTTTTTTTTTTTTTTTTTGGTTTTTTTGGATTTTTTTTTTATTTTTATTTTCATTACAAATAAATATTTAAATAATAAAATGATTTTTTTTGCAATAAAAATAATTTTTTTTATAGTTAATGAATTTTTATTTTTATTTTTATTTTTTCATTTAGTAAGGTTAAAAATTTATTTGTTTCATATTTATTTTGTTGACCGGTGTACCATTTTCAACGGTCCGTAACAGTGATTTGGTAAAATCTGTGTCTTGATCTCAGTTTGATATCTTGTTTGCTGAATTTTCATTTTGGTATGACTTTGGTGCAACCGTTGGAGCGTGAAAAAGTGGGTTTTTCATCAAAATTTAAATCTGATGCTGGGTTTGGTTCACCGTTGGAGATGGTCTTACCAAATCTTTCATAAAATCCAAAATTTCTTAAATCTTTCATCAGATTAAGGATGAATGTAACTTTCATGAGTTCATAACCATTGTATTTTCGCCACCAGATGTCCTCCGAACGTCTCCCCGGATGACCGCCTCAAGGCAAAAATTTGTAAAAATTTTACATTAATCAGTCTACCGGCCAGAAATCCTCCTAGTTGTCCACCTGATCAACCTCCCGAATGACCACCTCAAGGCAAATATTTGTGAAAAATTTACATTAGCCAATCGATCGACCGAACATCTGCCCAGTCGTCTTCCCGGTCAACCGGTATTCTAATGAAACTTTAAAAATTTCCATTAGAGCACTCGATATCAAATAGATCTTTTACTCAATTTTTTATTCAAATTTAATAAAAAAAAATTGATGCACCATTGGAGATTCCCTTACGTGATGTGGTAGGTCTTTTAAAAAGAAAAATATGATAGACCTTATACACCTAGGGTGTGTTTGTTTGGACGGACTGGATAAGGGGGGATTGTAATCCATCGGACTGTTAGTCCCGGGATACATTGTCCCGGGACTATTTGGTTGGATTAGATTTGTATCCTATGTTTGTTTAGTCATGGGATTAGATGTCTGGATTGGACTATTTTTAGTAAATCCAATGTTTGGTTAGACGGACTGGATAAAGATAAATGTTCAAAAGACTATTTTACCCTTATAATCTATAATTTATAATTTAACAACACTAAAAAAATTTAATTTATAAGGCCACAATTTTTAATTTATTATTTTCAATTAAATTAAATTTATATTTTATATTTTATATTTTATATTTTTATTTAATATATAATTTTAAATAACGACAATAAAAAAATAATTTTATTTAATATATAAATTAAATTTTCAACAACACTAAAAAAATTTAATTTATAAGGCCACAATTTTTAATTTATTATTTTCAATTAAATTAAATTTATATTTTATATTTTATATTTTATATTTTTATTTAATATATAATTTTAAATAACGACAATAAAAAAATAATTTTATTTAATATATAAATTAAATTTTCAACAACACTAAAAAAATTTAATTTATAAGGCCACAATTTTTAATTTATTATTTTCAATTAAATTAAATTTATATTTTTTTATTTAATATATAGTTTGAAATTAACAACACTAAAAAAATAATTTATAAATGTTCAAAAAACTATTTTACCATTTTCTAATTGTTCACTAAGTAATAGCATGGAGGGTAAAATAGACATTTTACAAAATAATCCCATGGGATACCAAACCCATGGTTTCTATCCCACACCCCCCATGGGATAGGATAGTCCCATGTTTGTGGGACTAATAGTCCGGAAGACTATTAATCCGGAGCAAAATTTTTCAAACAAACAATGGACTATTAGTCCGGTGTCCAATCCCACCCTCTTATCCCTCAAAAGAAACATGCTCCTAGTGTTTATTTTGTGAAAATAAGTAAAAATAAAATAATAAAATAAAATAAAATACATTCACGAATATGTAAAATAAATAAATAAAAATAAAAAATAGAAAATAACTTTTTAAAAACAAAACCAGAGAATGGCCACTACATCGCACACATATAAAAGCAACATTACACAAAGGAATAAGCAGCAAGACAAAGGAGTTTCCTCAGTTATTGCTAACACATTTCAGCAATCTCAGATATGGCTACAACAACAACAAATCCAAAAATAAGCTTGAAACTTCTCATAGACACCAACTCCAACAAGGTTCTCTTCGCCGAGGCCGGAAAGGACTTTGTCGACCTCCTCTTTGGCCTCCTCGCGCTTCCCCTAGGTACCTTCTTGGCACTTCTGACCGAACATGATGACACGGCTGCTACATTTGGGTCGTTGAGCAGAGTCTACCAGAGTGTCCAAAACCTAGACAATGACTATCTACAACCAAACCAGACCAAAGACACCCTCTTAACACCCAAGATTGGTGCATCTAACACTGCCCAAACCCCTCTGTTGAAGCAATTTTTAGAAATGGCAGACTCACCAAACCAGACCAACTCCAGTCAGAGTCAGAGTCAGTATGATTACTATCAGAGAAATGCGAATGCGAATATGGTGCACGGGTATGTTAAAGGAGTGGTGACTTACATGGTGATGGATGATCTCACGGTCAAACCTATGTCCTCCATTTCTAGTATTGCTCTTCTCAACATTCTTAAGGTCAAGGACATTACCAGCCTCCAAGAGAAGACAGTGACGGTTGACATGGACGAGGTATATGGTTAACATCTCCTTTTACATGTTTTAAGTTTCAGCAATGCTACGTGTCCAGGAAAAAAACACACACAAAAATTATCCAGAATTTAAAACGTGTGAATCAAATTCATCGAGTGTATATTGTATTATATCAAGTTTGAATCTATATCGTATATTCAAATTTTGAATATTTTTTTGGGTACATTGACATTTTTGTTCAAGAGTTGTTTTGAGAAGATAGTTAAAGGTTAATTTTTTTTGACTTTTTTTTGTAAAAGTGTTTAAAAAATGTGATAGATTATATGACTTAAAATGAGTTAAAAGTTAGAATATAGACTTTTAATCATCTTCTCAAAATAGTCCTAAGCTCCAAATTCGATCAAGTTAATTTGTGATGGAAAATAATTAAAAAATGCATTTTTGTTCCAGAAAGATATAACAATAATATTTTTGTAATTAGATGTGTTTCAACTTTAATGAAACGATCACCAAAAGATCACATAATTCTGTGTGAAATTTTGTACAACAATTTTATTTTGTATAACATTACAAACATTTTTGATTGATCAACAACTTTTGAGTTCTATTGTTGTTTGGTTAGGGTTTGAAGCTGTTCATGAAGGCCTTCTCTAAGTCTACTACAGTCCTCACAGATATGTTCCTTCCAATAAAGCCCAATGTGAACAAAGACCAGGGATCCTGTCAACTTCAAGAATGCTTCAATGCTTGATTTAGGTTGCTATTATAATTAAGAAGAAAAAAAATTAAAAGTTAGTAATTTTAGTGTCAGTCCATCTTAATGGGTATGGCAAGAGCCATTTTTAGACGACAGTGCCTTTGGGTGTGTTTGATCTTTGTCGCTGGATTGTGAGTGAATTGTGTATTTGATCTAAAAACTCTTTCTTCCTGTTCTCCTTTCTCTTCTGATCTTTTTGGTTCTGTAAATTCAGGTTCTTACTTCTTACTATGTGACATTTCATTTTGGCCAGTGATATCATAATAAGCAAAATAACACCAGCAAAATTCAAGACAACATACTTTACTTACATAGATAATCAATCATCTAGTTTTTGCTCAGAAGAGAAACTATTTTAGATCTGCAGTTTGGATATTTTAACTATTTCAACTCGGAGTTAAAAAATTTTATTTGGGATTATTTTTTAGTTTTTTTTACTTTTATAGGGAAAAAAAAAATCTGATTATAGTTTGGAGGTGATAACTTTAGCCTGACACTAAAAAACATATTAGAAAGTGGGTTAAAAGCCACTTTCTAGTTTTTAACTCATTTTAAGTCACAGTATCTCATATATTTTTACATATTTTTTTTTTAAAAAGTCAGAAAAATTAACTTTTAATTATCTTCCCAAAATAACTCAATTTTTGTGGTTATTTTAGTCCCAATCCATCCCAATCCAACATGCCAAACAGCTACTAAATTTGTCCTCTCATTCTAATCTAACAACTGGCAAATCATACGAGGCATCTATCTGTATGCAAACAGGATTATGGCCCTGTTTGGTAGAGCTGTGGGAAAGTGATTACAACTTATAACCTAACAGTTTATAGTATATACCTGTGAACATAAGCTGATTTTTTATTTATAGACTAAGCTTCTCCTTCCCCACTCAAAGAATAAGTTGATTTTTGACTTACAAAAAGCTATAAGATGTATTGTTAAGTTGAACCAAACACATCAAAATAGCTTAAATTAAGCTAAAAGTTGAAATAAGCTGAAAATAAGCCCTACCAAACAGGGCCTATATATAGGAGGTGTTTGATTGGAAGGATTAGGGTGTGGGATTGGATTGTAATTTATTTTAAGTCTTTTATTAGGCATTTGTTTTTTATTTAGTCCGTCGGATATGGAGTCCGGCCGAACTCCTTATTCCCCATATGTGGGATTACACTGTCCGGGAGAGGGTATGGAACAATTTTCATGGGATAACAATCCCGTGAGATTAGATGGTGAAATGATCATTTTAACCCTCCTCTATTTAATTATGTATTATATTTAGTAAAATTCAATAAAATTTAAACCTCAATTTAAAAATAAAATAATTTTATTTAACTTTTTATTAATGTTTTTATTTATTTAATTTTTTAAAATAATTTTTTTAGATATTTTATTGTTGTTTTATTTTAAAATTTTATTTAATTTCATTATTTAATTATTATTATTTTTTAAAATAAATTTATTTAAAATTTTAATTAAAAAAATAACATATATTTTTATTGATATTTTATTTATTTAATTTAAATTTTTTTATTTATTTGTGTAAAAAATAAAATAAAATAAATTTTTATTTAATCGAGCTAAAAATAATTAAAATATTAAAGATATGTTTAACATTGCTATTACTTAGTAAACAATAGAAAAAATGTAAAATAGTCTTTTACTCATTTATCCTTATCCAGTCCGTTCAACCAAACATTGGATTCATTAAAAATAGTATTTTCCAGACATCTAATCCCATGAGAAAACAAACACGAGATACACATCCAATCTAACTAAATAGTCCGAAGGATTCATAGTCCTAAGATTTAAATCTGATGGATTCTAATCTGCTCTTATCCAGTCCGTCCAATCAAAAATGTATATGAATCCATCGGACTGGATAAGAGGGGATTAGAATCCATCAGACTTGAATCCTGAGCCTGTGAATCCCCCGAATTATTTGGTTAGATTGGATGTGTATCCCTTATTTGTTTTCTCATGGGATTGGATGTCTAGAAAGAACTACTTTTAGTGAATCTAATATTTGGTTGAACGGACTGAATAAGGATAAATGAGCAAAAGACTATTTTACTCTTTTTAAATTGTTTACTAAGTAATAGCAATATTAAATCTGTCTTTAAATTTAATCTTTATTTATAATTGATTAGTAGACCACAATTAATTGTTTAATTTTTTCAATGTTTGAAACAAACATTTTTCCAATAGTTTTCCAATAGTTATATTTTTTAATGGTCACGTTCTTTCAATATAAATAAGACCAATTCCCTTCTAATTTTTATCCAACACAATTTTTTTTTTTATTAGCAAAAAAATAACTTTATTAATGCATAGAATGAACAAAGCATAAATATATCAACAAAGAAAAAGAGTAAAGAGCACACACCCAAAAACCAAAAGAACAAAAAACAAAAGTTGAAGAGATTTCAACGAAAAAAACCTTCACACCCATAGATTAAAAGCATACCAACAGCATCACAACAGCATCACACAACACACCAGCAACAATACACAACACACCAACACTTCCTCATCACACCAGCAAATCCACACAACACACCAATTACTAATCATCCAAATAACATGACCAGCACCACGAATCCAAATAAAAAAGAGTATAACAACCAAAATAAAAATAGCAACCAACATCAAAGTGGTATATGTTCATAAAGATGTCAACAGGTACAAATATTTGCTCCTACAACTAGCAGCTTTCAATAACAAAAACAACAGTATCCCATGACTAGATGAGTCAAAGGCACCAAATCATGATACAACAATTTAACCCACAAAATACGGTGCTTGACGAAGAGAAAAAGCAACAATTAGTCTATGGAGCATAACCCAAAAACCAAATATTCCCATCACATGCACAAGTTTGTTATGGAACATTCCTACTTAGCAATCTCATTACCCACCTCAGCCTATCATCATGTATCAAGCTGAAGAACATGTCAAGTTTTTGAACGTCATGGAATATGATTTCGCAAGCTTCTAACCTTTCATCTACGGTAATTGACAACTTTGTAAGTTCATCATTTAAGTTGAATGAAATTGTGTAACAAGCAACATGCTGTGATAATATGATTTTGGGTTCTAATGGGGTAGTATAATGCACTGCGATGTACTGCCCATCTCATTTTCAGCAATCCAAAATACCTTTCTATGACATTCCTGGCTTGTGCATGCTTCATATTGAAATATTCTTGGTAATTACTTGTAGTTGCCTCTTCTCTTCAAACAGACAAATGGTATCGCTGACCACGGTAAGGTGCTAAGAATCCTTACCCATTCGTATAGCCGCATCCACTAGGTAGTAGTAACTTCTGTGTGGAATGTTATGTATTAAACTCAATTATTATACATGAACTTAGAAAGAATTAAGTATCCTGAAATTACCATTTGGAATCCTTAGGCCATTAGGCCGATTGATTGCATCTTTTAAAACCCTAGAGTCAGCTGCTGACCCTTCCCACCCCGGCAACACATACATAAAATCCATTTGTTGGGAGCAAACTCCTAGAACATTAGTAGCAGTATCTCCCTTTCCTGTCCTATACCTTGCTTGATGAATCACAAGTACACGAACCCTAATATAGGTGCCATCAAGTGCTCCAAGACAATTCTAAACAAACCAATTGAATAGATATTGTAATAGTTATGTTTTTTTTTTTTTGGGGGGGGTAAAATAGAGAACAAAAGAAAAGAAAAGAAAAGAAAAAGTAATGTAAAGTTACCAAATTTGTGGACAATATATTTATCTGGAAGCAATTCCACCCTGGATTTGTGTTTGCGTCGATAATAGGATTTGGTGTGCTAAGTAAATTGGCTTGTAGGCGTAGCATAGCCTTTAAGACATCATTGACATATCGACTGACAATCTGTCCAGATTTATAGCAAGTGTACTTAACATTTCGTATTTTCAAGTGTTGTGCCAAAATGAAGAGGAAGAAGGCCATATTCTCTTCTAAAGTGACATGTTTTGAAGGTCTTAACCCACCAATTGTATGAATCATATTGCATAAGGTCATAAAAGAACAACGATCCATACAGAGTTGTTCAATGCATGTTATGTCACTTTCTTTTACTAAACGGTTAATATGGTCCATTTGTTCTTGCAACCGATTGGGTCCTCTAATAAGATTATGTGGATACTTACATAAATACTTCAAGATAACTTCAATGACAACAAAAGATACAATGCATAAGGCAAACAATTCTTGCATTACAACTTGCAATACTACGTACAATTGAAGTACATCATTACTCTCATCGTCAAAGTCATTGATATTCTTAGCCATCTATGAAAATAAATTATCATACAAAAACCATTTAGAATTACTAAACGTTTAAAGAATGGAGCATCTCTATATAGATAACATATAAGAATTTACAAGCAGCATAGATGCACTACTTTCATGATTATAAACTTTCTAAATTTAAACAAAGAAAATATAAAAATTAAATCATTTCTATTATATTTTTTCTTTTTCTAAATTTTTTTTTCTTAAATCAATTATAAAAATATATATTTAATTTATAATCTAGTCAATTTAATTTCACCATAACTATGTTTAAAAAAATAAATAGCATATTTTAGAATCATACTTGTCATTTATCTTTATTAATAGTTGTAATTATTAGATTAATTTAACTTATTTTATAAAATATATATATATATATATATATTTAATAGCTTATAAGAGAGCTGTTTGATGCACCTAATAATACTAGTTATAGTTTTTTTACTTTTAGAATTTGAGCTAAAATATTTTGAGTCAATTTTTAATTATAACTTACAAGGGTAGAGGAAGAGATGTTTTTATCTTTTATAAATGACAAGATTAAATTATCGAAATGGGTTAAGGAGGAGACATGCGGTTGCACTATATCAGTCCTTCGCATGCTCTGTTTTTGTCAAATCAATTCCAACTTCCAATAACGGCAAGGCAACAAAAAGATTACAACAAAACACAAAAGAAAATAGAGACTTGCGAGTCAATGCATGCATGTATAACAACCAAGCAGTATCCATTAACAACAAACAACCAGCAGCAGCATGTTTTTTCAATGCTCAAAAAAAAAAAAAACAAATATAGACCCAGTACCCACCAAAATAAACAGAACAGAAACAAAATCTCTCATACTGAAGAAAGAGAAAAAACGATCTCTGCAAAATCCCTCAAATCTGGTTTGATGAAGAGGAGGAAAAAAAACCTTGAAAGAAACAAAAAAAAATAACCAGAGAGAGAAAATAAAATCTCAACCAAATCAACCACAACAATCAAAATTGAAATAAAAAATAAATAACAAACAAAATGAAAGACGTAGAAAGTGTTTCAAACCTAGGAGATCGAATGATTTGATGAAATTCAACCTCAAGCAAAAGAATCGCCTGCTAGGGTTTTGCCATTTTTGCTTCTTCTAAAATAACGAGGGCAAAATAAATGACGAGGGCTAAACAGAGGAAACAAATTATCTATGATGAGGGCAAAATAGACTTTTTATGATTTAATCCCATGGGATTGTTAGCCCATGAAAATTGTCCCCCCCCCCCCCCCCCCTCCCGGGACAGTGTAATCCCATATATGGAGGATAAAGAGTCTGGCCGAACTCCATATTCAACGGACTAAAAAAAAAAAACAAACGCCAAATAAGGGACTTCCAATTGATTACAATCCAATCTCACACCCTAATCCTTCCAATCAAACACCTCCATATAGTATATATCATACAATTGCCTTGGAACTACCTCTCTGTTTGCAATGAAAATTCTCACAGCTGAAACTGCAAGATCTCCAAACAATCGATCGTGTTGGAATTTAAAGATGTTCCAATTGAACCTTTCCAAACATCATTTTGTCTCCAAATTATCAGGTTAATGTCGTTGGGAATTGCTCCATGTAAATTTGCATTACCATCGAGCAATTCACAGCCGTATAAAGTAACCCATCTTTTGCAGCAACAGAGAACCATGTATATAGCTTTCCAAGCGAGATGGATGCATTTATCATTCTTTTGCTGTCAGAAACTCCTTCACTTTCCACAGAATTCCCTTGTCATATGGATTTGTAAACCTTGGTTCACTTTCACTTGAGGTTTGCCCTGGACAAAAAAATAATTCAAAGACCAATTTGGGTATAGATGGTTAAACAATATACAGAGCCACCAGAACTATGAACTAAAAATACCCAGTTCAGACTGGACAATCAAATGGAACTCTGGATGCCTTTTCGAGTTTATCTGCATAAAAATAGTGTCTACAGTCACAAGTACTGCAGATTTCTCTTATCCTATTCTTCACACATAATTAGACGTCATTCTGTCTCAGGCCATCCACGGTGCTGGCTGTACATTATCTAACTGGTCTAACCTACGGTTTTTTATGTCCTTTCAAGAGTCAAAAAATTTTACGACTGAACAAAGAATCCGTAAAATCTGTAATCCGATCTGGTTCAATCCAATCCGGTAGGTTTGAATTGGTTTTTTGAATCCGTGGTTTGGTTTCAGATTGAAAAATTAAAAATCAGTAATCTACGGATTAGTTCCAAATTGAACGCCACGGTTCCGGAATGAAACCGATCCAGACCGTATATAAATAACCTATATTTATATTATACACCCTCTCACATAGTATCTTCTCTTATTCCATATAAAACCTAAACCCAAATCTAAACCTGCATAATATCTTCTTTTATTGTTGGTTTTTAGTTTTAATTTGTAATGGTCTAAATACTTATGGTGGAACCAATTTTCTTATGATTGTTTAAATTCTAGAACAATATGTCACTATCTTGGAAAGACATGTTACTATTGTGGAACTAATATGATGCTATGTTTATATTTTTATGAAATTAAAATGCTCTATTTTTATTTTTATTTTTATTTTTATTTTTTTAGTTATTTAATTATGTGAATCTATGGTCCTAAACCGATCCAATCTGTGTTTAAATGGATTGGTTTAGATTGGTTCTACGATTTAAACAAATTGGATTGGTTCCAATTTTTCAAGAACCGCAAATAATGAATTGGTCCTGATTTTACTCCAATCCGGACCATGCTTACCCTTAAAAAATTCTACTTAGGTCTTCTCAGCACCATACTGAGGCCACCCATGTAGCCAAGCATGATTTTGAGGGTAACCATTTTCCACGTTAAAGTAAGGGTAAATATATTTTACAAAGGATAGAAATCATTTGATGTTAAAAAGGCTCGGAAAGGAGTTTCCGTAGTAATCTTTGTTGACAAGCCAAATCTATACACCATAGCACCAAATTGGTAACATAAACATCCCTTGCTTCTTCCATATAGATTAAAATGTTTCTTTAAGGAGTTCAAGAAACGCCCCCAAAAACAAATGGTTTGGGAATTCAAAGATCAGAGGGCTCCAACTCTAATTTACAATTATTCAAAAAATCATGAAATTAGAGAATTGAAACACTTAAAGCTCAGAGTATGACTGCATCAGTGAACAGAATAGATTTGAGAACTTCCCCATTCATCAGTTCTAATGTTGAAACAAACACAATAAATATGCCATGACAGGAACACCCCCTATAAACATTCACCAGCATGTTCCTGTTAGATAACAAATCAATATTCAAATAGGAAGAACTTGTATAGGAGAAGAAACAATGTACACCTGCCAGAGAACTTGGAGAAGAGAGAATAGCATTGTGCTAATTGCCAAATTTCTAGCCGAACTAGTCTGCACAAATAAAATGTAAATATAACAAAAAGATAAGCCATAGAGTATGAAGAGTTTGATTTTGTCCTCCTAAAATAATCCATTTGTTTTGGAATACTTGGAGAGAAGAAAAGAAAAGGGATTCTCTTCTCCCTAATCACTTGTTTGGATAGTTTAAGAGGAGCGAGAAATGGGGAGAAAATTGGAGAGAAACCATAATTCCTTATAAACAAACTTTTCAAATTTATTTTTAAGTGGAGAGATTTGGAAAGAGGGAATGGGAGTTAGTGATTATCAATTTTGTCCTGGATTTTTATAACAAGTGGTTTTCATTCTACCCTTTACATAATAAAATTTTCTTTTCTACATCTCCATCTTTCCCAAACAGAGAGAATGATGACACTCTTTTCTTCTTCCCTCCTAAATTATCCAAACAAGAAAGAAAGATACCGCTATCATTTCTTTTCTCTCCTACCTAATCCTTTGTTTTCTTTTCTTTTCTTTTCTTAATGGACTGTTAGTACAGAAGGGCAAAATATCATGAAAACAGAAGATTTGAAAATGTACCAGACCCCCAATGTTATCCATGATCTGAAATTTTGTAGCAACTGAAATCCATGATAAGAATAAAATTAGCATAATTAATTTCACCAAAAAAATAAATTGTTGAAACTAATGCAGGTCAGTATCCAATATATTCAAGCTTACATTGAGATGAGGATTCTACATACGAAGCCTTGGTAAAAACAAACCCAAAAAGGAGGATTATGAAGAGGACATGGTTTTTTTGACCTGCATTAAAAGGATATCAATGTCAGCATCCACAAAGACAGCAAGACCCATTGTTGTACCAAATCCAAGACTAGTTTAATAAGAACAAAAAAGACAACAGTTTTTGTTGTCTGAAGTAGTTAAAAATGTAAAGAACTATAACCCGCATGTTGTCATTACCTATACAGTTTCAAAAAGCAGGACAATGATGGTCGAACCCCTTTACAAATGCCTTGCAGTGCCTACAATATCTGACTCTCTGAAGTGGAATAGAATTCTGTGATAGCATAAATACTGAAGACTTCAGGATACATAAGATTTCAATGATAAAGAAGTAAATGCAGTGCTAAGATTTTGTGGCTAAACAGAAATTTAACATGGATAGAAAGCTGAGATATTTTCAATCAATAATGATTTGCTATGATGAAACGCAACAGAATTTAAGATAGTTCAACACATATTGCCACCAGATTACATTTAAAGCCTTCGGCTTTTCACTATGGAATCCAGATTCCAAAAAATCAAAGACCAGAAATCCAGGATCATTGTAAGCTATGAAATATAGACCCGATAATTAAAGTTTCAGTTGATATTCATAGTTCCTTGCAATCACATCTGACTACCTAGTATGTATTCAATCAAGATAATATTTGAGAAGCAAAACATGAAACAAAACCAGTAAAGCTACCAAAGCCAATTTTGAAAACTAAAATTCAAAGGATAAATTAATTGTGATCGCAAAACTCAGTGGTATTTAATGCTGTAACCGATGAAATCACCGGAATCAGCTTACTTCTTCAGCAACAAACTCGTAGGGAATGTCACAAGTTGAAGGCACCAGTTCCTGCTCCAGAAGATAATTTCAATATCTGTGTTAATTATATGACTCATATCTAATTGGAGGGGCTTCTCAACATTTTCAACCTCAGAATGGGCTTCAAATACTGAGACAGGACTCTCAACAAGCTGGTTATGATGGGAAGATTCATTTGTAACACAACCAGGGTCTGTTGTCAGGATACTGGCACCAAGAAACACACAGTTAGGACAATGAATAAATGATTGAAATTTCATTCTTCCAAACCTTAAATCTAGAAACAATAATCTGACCTGCATAGACCAATCACGAGCATAGAGAACTCTGCATTGAGTATAACGTCTAGCAAAGGTGAAATGACTGAAAAAAAGATAATTTTGTTAAGGATGTCAGGATTCCATACAAGTCACAATTTGGAAAAGGTAGATACATATCGATGATGAGCAACCAATAATCCATCTCTATCCAACTAAAATTTGAGCATTCTCACATAATTTATTATCTGGTTGGAAAAAATATATTACTCACTCCTTTACAGAGAAATGAACAAACAAACAGAAAACACAGAGAAATTTTTATATGTTAATAGGGTACACGTAGCACTACCTTTTATCAATCAATCACAAATGTATACACCTTCATTTTTCCTCAAACATCCAACATAAATGTAATGACCCTACTGTCAAATTCAAAATAGTAGAAGGTACACGTGGCATCTACACCCAAAAATTCCTTAAAAACACCATGTATTTGATGAATAAATAAACCATCTCCGACTGTTGAAAAAACCCACCACTCGAATCCCATTGTATGCAGAACCCAGACTTTAAAATTCGTAGAATAATCAAACAGTGAATCATATTGAGGATACAAATTAGAGACTAGAGAGAGAGAGAGATTACTGAGAAGAAAGAGGGACCTTGTCGAACCAATCCAATATAAACGCCCCAAATGAATACAATATTGAAGAAAACGAAAGCCGGCGCTGATTCTGCCACTCCTACAAGTCTCTTGCAGCATCTCCCAACACCTGTCACTCCCAACAGTGCTAAAGCTGTAACAAAAGCAACCACTTCAACCACATATTCATATATATATATAGAGAGAGAGAGAGAGAGAGGACCTGAGAGTGAGAGGAGAGAGAGAGAGGAGAGAGAAGGAAGGGAAGAAGGAAGGAAGCAAGAAGAGGGACAGTTGAGTTAGGGATGAAGAGGCAAATGATATCAAACAACGACCAATCGAATTGGACGAAGCTACTCTTCTCTGCCTCTGATTTCCTATTTCTACCATTTTTATCGCCAAACAATTCAATTCCAATTCTTTTCGCACTGCCCAAACACACGAAAACCCCTGAAGATTCACCAGAACGAAACTAGAACAGTAGAAATCGGGTCTCCCGGTCCACGGGTAGGAAGATCCGGACTGTTTTGACGCCGTCTGTGGCGAACCGTGATCGACCCGGATTCAAACCTTGGGCTTGGACTTGATTTATCATCTAGCTCAGGGCCCAGATCCGGTTCTTATTCAGATGAAATTCTCTTGTTTGTGTTCTATATCCTAGTTAAAATTTTACATAGTTTGAAAAATTATTTGAAAAATAAAGAATGTAATTAACAAATCTCAAAATATTAGTAGTTATGCAAACAATCACGTGATTTGAAAAACAATTAAATTTGAACATCATATTGATTCTGTTTGATTTAGTTTTAGAATTATAATTTGAATATGTGGAATTGTATTTTAAGTTTTAAGTTTTTAAATCATGATTTTAAAAAAAATTGTTTAATTACGAGTTTTGAAAATAATTTTAGAATGATTTGTACTTTTTTTTATTGATTAATATATAGAATGTGAGAGGAGAGATGAGAGAAAAAATAATTGATTGATTGATTAATAATAATTTTTAAAAAAAAGAGAGTAAAAAAGAGTTTTAAAACTAATTTTGAATTGTATTTTAAAATTTTATTTGATTATAAATTTTAATTCAAATCATAATTTAAAAATAAAATTAAGCTTTGAAAATTAAACCAAATAATACTCCTCTTTTTTTTTTTCTTTTTTTTCTTTTTCAAATCATAAGGTAATAAAAGACCTCCCAAAAACAAAATGCACTAAGCGACAAAAATTCTTTTCAACCTTCTAAAGTTTGTAGTGTTTTATATTTATTGTATAATGTAACACGCTTTGTAATTTATCATTTATGAAAAAAAATAAACGCTTCTAATAATTATATTATTTTATTATATTTATCTAAAATATATATGTAATTATCAAATTATATTTAACCAAATATATATAATTATCGAATCATATTTATCTTCATTATTTTGTTATATTATTTGGTTTAAAAGTCATGAACAGTCTATTTAAAGAAATAATATGACTACAGATCTTTATTTTTAAATAAATTATCTGCCAGCAATGGCTTACAAATGAATAAATTAAATTATTAAAGTACAATCAAAAGTTAAATATATTTTAATGGGCTATGAAGCCCTTTGGTGGTCATGCACCTTTAGCTTAACTGGCATGATGTGGCATGATTGGTCTTTGGCTCCAGGATACATTGCACTTTGTTGGATTGGTCTTTGGCTCCAGGATACATTGCACTTTGTTGGATGTCATTGTCATTGTCATTGTCAACTATGCTGGTGTCTCCACTCAAAACTGATAGCTCTATGTCCGCTTCACAAGTTTGATGAAAATTTTAATTTATTCCTTATTTAATAATGATAATGCAATACGATGGGAGATGGGTCGGACTGAATCACGCACCGTGAACTCTCTGATGGTTCAATTAGACAAAAAGTGATTGAAAAGAAGACAGTAGTGAAAGTCGATGGTTGAGGGAGAAAAGAAGAAGAAGAGAGAGTGTTACTTGTTGTTTTTTAACGTTCTTTACAAGATTTCTTATATCTTTTATCAATCATTTCCTTATCCATTCAAGTTGTCTTATTGGCCAAAAGCTTATGGTCTACTCGTCGTCGGATATGGCAGTTTCACCATACTAGAGAATAAAAGGTCTTGTTGCATTTAATGCCATGACACTCTCATTTAATGCTTGATGTCTAGACTCAATAACTTTGCAAGATCTTTATCTGTCACGTGGTTAACTCCCTATCTAACGGGTGTCTAAATGCCACAGGGCCTAAATCAGCACAGGTTATTCGTTGGCCTGATATTGAGTTTTACTTATTGGGCCATAACTAAATGACCCTTTGGGCCACCCAGGACAATTGTGGATTGGGCTTTCTTGGGCCATGTGGGTCATGCCCATCAAATAATATTTTTTGGTAAAAATGTAATTTGATATAGATTTGATGAATGAATTAGATCTCATTTTTACCATTTAGTAAATTGTTGAAAATACTCTTAGCCCTAGCACTTATGGTACCAATTAAAAAAGCTTTTTTAATTTTTAATTTTTTAAATTGTAATTTTAATTTTTTATAACTTTTTTGGTCCAATTTAAAAGGATTTAAAAAGTAAACAAATTTCTAAAAACTAAAAACAATTAATTGTCTACTCGTCGTCGATCATGGCAGTTTCACCATACTAGGGAACAAGAAGTCTTGTTGCATTTAATGACATGACAATCTCATTTAATGCTTGATGTCTAGACTCAATAACTTTGCAAGATCTTTATCTGTCACGTGGCTAACTCCCTATCTAACGGGTGTCTAAATGCCACAGGGCCTAAATCAGCACAGGTTATTCGTTGGCCTGATATTGAGTTTTACTTATTGGGCCATAACTAAATGACCCTTTGGGCCACCCAGGACAATTGTGGATTGGGCTTTCTTGGGCCATGTGGGTCATGCCCATCAAATAATATTTTTTGGTAAAAATGTAATTTGATATAGATTTGATGAATGAATTAGATCTCATTTTTACCATTTAGTAAATTGTTGAAGATACTCGTAGCCCTAGCACTTATGGTACCAATTAAAAAAGCTTTTTTAATTTTTAATTTTTTAAATTGTATTTTTAATTTTTTATAACTTTTTTGGTCCAATTTAAAAGGATTTAAAAAGTAAACAAATTTCTAAAAACTAAAAACAATTAATTTTTTTTTTTACTTTTTAAAAAAATTTAAGGTCTTCTAATCTAATAGAATTTAAAATTGAAAAGTTTAAAATAAATAAAGTTCACAAGAAAAATTTAACAAATAATCTGCTTTTTTTTTCTTTTTTTTTTTTTTGTCAAACCTCCTCTTACTTGAATTGTTGGTTCCATTTTTTTATTCTATTTTATTTTATTAATAAAAGGACAAAAGGGACAATTAATGCATGCATAATGTTTCAGACCCCAGTGGGGTCTGATTGGCCAAACTTTTTTTTTTTTTCTTCCAATAACCAACCCCCACGTGTGTAGGGATGGTGGGGGTGGGGAAAACTGAGAGTCTCCATCACGTTTCTTAATGCATAATAATCCTAATATGTTAGCTCTTTTATCAATGCATTATCAATGAGTATTTAATCTGCAATTTTAAAGCACCATATGATTTTCGGTAGTGCTACATTATCATACCTTATAATATTACTAGTGTATGCCCGTGCCTAAAGGCACAGTGTAAATAATGTTTTATTTAAATAATCTTCATTTATCATTCTCTCTTAAGTTAGCAATATTGAGAATCAAGTATACCTAAAATTTTGTTACCCCATGACACACAAAAAATGAATAGATAACATGCATTTGAGCAAGAGGATTCCCTTTATTATAAACACAACTTCAAAATAAGAGGAACAACAAAATAGTGTTCTCCCTTTGGAGTACCCCATGCCAATATGAAAATGGTGTTCTTAATCAAAATCTAAATAGCAAACACCTTCAAATGTCTACCTCCCAAACCAAACCAAACCAAACCAAACCAAACCAAATCAAATATATATAAGTTTACACAATGTTAATCTGCCTCTAAATAATCAACTTTATACAACGTCAATCATTTTCAAAGTGTGCAACGATAAAACCAAAAATAGTGCAAATTCTGCACTTGAATTCCCTAGCTTTGCACCAATATAAATTTATTGACATGCAATGCATATGCTTACACTACTACACATAGTTAAAAGATGCTTTATGGGTAAAGGACCAATCATCATTTCACAAATAAAATCAAATGTTTTATATAGAAACAAAATGAAGACGCCATCTAAGTTTGAATGAGACATGAGAAATTCCCTTTTACTCATAAAGACTTCAAAAGAATATTTATGTGATTGCTATCATAAAAAAGAATCTTATAGATGACTAAATTAGTGCATCAAATCATTCTCCCGTTTTCTAATTTCTTGTATTTTGTATTCTTCAAAATAAATTGCCTCCCTAAACATTTTGAGTTTTCAATTGCTTTATGTGGTTCGGGCCATCCCCAAACCCATCCAGAGAATAAAAAAAATACCAAGATAAAATGTGGGAAAGTGAACCACGACATAGCTAAAACCAAAGCAAGTAAAACCAATTAATAAAGATATTCAACCTTCTGATTGTACACCTAAACTGAGACTTGAAGCAGCAAAGGAGCTATACATAACCATAAAGAAAAGGACAATCAAAATACAACTAAATTATGTACAAAGCACAATCCAAAAGACAAAAACCCTCAAAGAAATTCACAAAAAATTGCCATTATCGTCACTTGCAAAGAGGCTAAGAGAGAGAGAGAGAGAGAACTAAGTAGAGTTGTTTCTGGTCTTCAAATTATGTTGTAAAGAAACTAACTTTTAAGGTAATCACACTTACATCAAAACCAATAGAGCTCTTCTCCTCATTCAAGTCTAGGAGTTCAAACTAAGTAGAGCTCTTTCCGGTCTTCAAATTATGTTCTAAAGAAACTAACTTTTAAGATAATCCCATTTACATCAAAACCAATAAAGCTATTCTCCTCATTCAAGTCTAGGAATTCAAACTAAGTAGAGCTCTTTCCGGTCTTGAAACTATGTAATAAAAAAACTAACTTTTAAGGTAATCCTACTTACATCAAAACCAATAGAGCTCTTCTCCTCATTCCAGCCTAGAAATTCATTGCGGAGCTCTCCTTCCATTACCCACTGTTGTTACTGTAACATTTCAACTCAGCTCCATTCACAAACACAAAAACAACATACATTTTTTTTTTTATGAGCAAATACTCATGTAAAAACCAGTCAGGAGAAAACTGTACCTTTGCAAGAGGAGATTTAGAGCTAGCATTTCTTATAGCACCACTGTTGTTTTTCCTTAGTTAATGAATCCCTGTTGTTCTATTCCAGCGGGTTGGTTCCATTTGAACTTCACCTAAAACTCAAAAATAATATATCTCAAAGATTGAAAAGAAAATATATAAAAAAAATCTCTCTAATTATTTTGTCGAACAACTTGTGAATAATGCATTAGTACAATTAAACTTGTATGTCAATGGATGAAATTTAGAGAAGCCCCCAAATATATGATTAACAAAATGAAAATTATATAAAAGTACCACTATGATATAAGGACTATTAACCCACAATAGAAACCAATACTTGGATTGCTCTGTGTCTTTCGTATCCAATT